TTCCTTTCCTTTCCTTTCCTTTCCTCTCCTCTCCTCTCCTCTCCTGATGCTAGCATGGATGAACTCAAGAGCACATGCATATTAATCTATTTGTTGCCTTCTTCCTCTCTTGCTTTGGATAGATTTGATAATATAAAACAAGACAACAATCCCCCCCCCATTGTGCTATATAATATGTCAAAATATACATTTTTTAGAATACTAAATTTGCAAAAAGAAATACGCAATTGATGCAAAAAGTATCTAAATAAGCGTTGGTCATATGATATGTGTTTCATTCTCTATAATTATACATTTTTCTCTTATTCAAAAAGCAAAGGCAGCCAATTATTATGAAACAGAATAAATTAATATGCATCATTAGCATTAATGCTTATAGCCTGTGTATGTAATTTTTTTCATAAATCTGATCATAATATTCACAAACTTGTCTGTTCACATATTTATCTGCATGTTTTACAACAATGACAATTTTCAAAATGGAACTAGTGTTCCCCTTTATTTCATAGTATATTATGGCTGTAATTTCCATGTCTAATAGCAGATACTTACTGGCAATTCTTTAAGGATATTCCAAATCTCCTTCTGGCCATACTTTTCTGCAACACAAACTGGGTTTTCTCCATACTTGTTAGTAATTCTACATGCCTGAATGGCCTTGGGATCTTGGAGGAGAAGTACAGCAAGCTTCTTTAATCCAAATTTAGCTGCACAATGGAGAAGAGTGGGAAGTTCCTCCAACTGTGAATCTGTATTGAGAAACAAACACATGCATGTATATCCCAAAATATTATATAATTCCTTTAGAACATGGGGAAACAGGTGTATACATGAAAGAGTCATGTAGTGTCATGGCCAGTGGACTAAGAAGACTTACTATTCAGTTGCTCAGTATTGCTGACCAACTTCAAGACTCTTGCTCTCCTCATGATGTCTTATTTTTGAACCAAGCTTCCATTGGACAGCCCTTCAAATACAAGACTATATTCTGTAAAGTTGGACACCACTTCATTGGGCATATGCCCAGGGCATGTCAGATTATACTGTATATATCCTTTCATATGCAGTTACATTCCTTTCAAATTAATAATGATTTTTTTGAACAGGTACCATCATGTTCTTGGAAGTGTATTTACAACTTAATACAACTGAAAAGTAATGGTGTGCTTGTAATAAAAATAAGGGAAAATATATACAGACAAAACGTAGAAGCCTGATATATATTTATGGTCCATGAGTTTTAATTGCACATCTGTCCTTTGTTGCTTAGTTAAACAATATTCTGTAGAGATATGCTGTGGCAATTGGATAGATAATAGCTTCTTTCAATGGCACAGAGTTATAACTACAGCTAAAATGTGTGAAGAATATCAGTTTGCTAAGCACATGGACCATGTAAAGGCTTCTGTAATAGGCACTGTACATTTGAGAATGGGGCTGTTAAACACTGTTGTGAAATAGCAGGTCAAGAACTGAGATTGTTCTTTTTATTTGTCACTTGATGTGCTTGTGAAAAAAGTAAACCAAAACCAATTGTTCATTACAAGGCACATATTGTTATCAGCTGGAGCAACATTACTAGATGAAACACAGAGTTCTTGCTCAGCGTCATTAGGATGACACATTTTTAAAGACAAGGGATAATTGCACAACGTAACAACAATAGCATGGTAATATGAAGAAGTAGGAACTGTGCTATATTAGACCAAATTCTCTCTAGTTCTGCACTCCAGTCCTCCCTCCAGAAGCTAACCAAACATTAATACGTGGGACATCAGGACAACAGCACTTTCCTTCTCCAGCAATTGATATTATTACAGCCTTCTCAGAACCTGAAAAAGTAGTAAAGATTTGCAAAACATTACAGCTCAAAACATCTATGTATCCCTTCATTGTCAGGAACATGCAGCAGTTAGCCACTTCCCCTGTACATCACATGACTGTTGCAAGAGAATTAAGAGGTCCTCATCCCAGCAAATTTAGAGATAAATAGGGTATTAAAATGAAAGCATCCAGTTGTCAAGATTCTGCCACCCGATCCCTTTTTTCTTTCAATAAATATGGTTAAATACGACTTTGTGAGAATATTGTTTTCAATTGCCAAGAGCTCAGCAATAAGCTAAACAACAAGTTGCACATTCATTTGGTCTGGTGAGTATCCCTTACTGGGAAATTAAGAGTTCTCTTAATTCTAGGACCCACAGCACTGTGTGGTGCGGGCAGATCACAGGGTTTTCCTGGAAATTGTAAATGAAACTGGTGTATTAAATGTGGGGCATGGATGTCGGTTGCTCTTTCCCATGATCTTTCTCATTCTGGATAGCTCTTCCAGCAAATAATTTCCTCTTGTGTACTGAGTCCAGAATTGCTTCTACTTGTTTCAGCCTTGTGAAATAGTCCAGACAAGAAGCACATCCAGAAGTACTAGGTCTATCTTTATTACAAGGTTACGGTAACAGAATCTTGCAATTCTGAGTCCATCTCTCCCTCCTCACCTTTACAGTCCAAGAAACTAGGAAGGGTCCAAACAAACAAAGGATGTTTGTCACACTGTCATTTGTTCTACGGGCTCAGCTGCCTCTTATTTGACCCTTGCCTAGTCTGCAGCTCTTCTTCCTGTCTCCCAAGGTCATTCCCATATAACACTACAACTTCACACTCTCTGCATACCTGTACTAGATGGGCAGTGCTTTCCAGGAAGTGTCTCCATTGTTGGAATGTTGATTTTATCACAAGAAACTCCTTATTGAAGATGTTATAGTTCTGTTCTGTTGGTAGAAGCAAGTTGGAACTAAATGTACATCGCAAGAGATATGTTCCCCCTTCTTTCTTTTCCTGGAGAAGAATTGCTCCAACTGCCACATGTGAAGTGTTGGTCTGCACCATGAATTTGTGCATGGTCTTCATGCAGTTGCTGTGAAGTGGAAAGGTTTTTCAATTCCTGAGATGTTGTCTGCTCTTGTGTAGACCATATAAACTTGCAATCTTTCTTTAGGAGTTGAGGCAGAAGCCTGGTGCGGTCTGCAAAATGAGGGATAAACTTTCTGTAGAAATTGGCAGATCCCAGAAAATGCTGCACATTCTTCACATTTCAGGGTGGTTGCCATGAAAGAATGGATTCACTTTTGCCAAGTCCCTTTGTATGCCTTCAGTAGAGATCCTGTAACTCAGTTGGGGTAGATTGAATGCTCATTTCTCCAATTTAGCAAAAAGTTTGTGTTCACAGAGTCTCTTTGTTTCTGACATGAGCTAAATGCACGGAAGGGTCCTCCTAAAAAATCAGTATGTTATTCAAATACACCACTACATATTTATCTAAAATGTAAACAAAAAATGGTTCATGAATCTGGAGAAGACTGCTCTACAATTAACCAAGCTGAAAGGCATCACTGTATATAGGTAGTCCTCACTTAACAACCACAATCTGTCACTAAGCAACATGGCCGTTAAGCAGAACATCATGTGACCATGCCAGACTTATGATGTCACTTCCACTGTGATAAGGGAGACATCACAACTGTGACTTGCAATTTTACTGTTGGCTTTCCATTGACTCTACTTGTCCAAAGCTGGCTGTGAAGTGCACAAATAGTGATCACATGACCACAGGACACCATGATGGTCATATATGTGAGAACTGGTGGTAAAATTACTTTTTCAACACTGTCATAACTTCGAATAGTTGCTAAACAGTGTAGTCATTAAGTGAGTACTCAATCTGTACTCAAATTTGCTATATCTGGTGTCAATCGCAGTCAAGCATTCCTGTCCCAGTTTCATTCTGATCAGATTGTAAATGCTTCTCAAGGTCAGCTTTGTAAAAATGCATGGCTTTTGTAGGTGATCCAGGAGATCTGAAATAAGCAGCAATGAGTAGTGGTCTCTAACTGTCACCTGGTTAAGAAACTTATAGTTGTGAACTGTAAGAAAAGAATTGCCGTGTCCTTTAGGAATGAAAAATGTAAGTGCTGGAGACTTGGAAGGGTAAATAAATCCTTTCTTTAAACTGTCATCCAGAAATCTTTTCAAGATGGTTAAGTCTCAAGTAAACATTGGGTACTATCTCTTCACAGAAATTTGGGCTCCAGGCATATACCAAGTCACACACAATGCAGTTGCCTCCTCTTCTCCAAACACATGTGCAAAGTTTGAGTATTTCAATGGCAATGTCACAGGAGTGTAACTGTGCAGAACCAGCCAGGAAAAGGGGGAGGTGAAAAGCTTCTAACCAGTGCTGTTGATAGCTTGATGATGGAAAAGAAATTGTTCCTTGCTCCCAGTGCACATCTGGCTCATGTAACTGCAGCCAATTGTAGAGAGAAGAGGGAGTAGCCTTGAGGGATAGGAGGAAGAACCATTACCAGGACAACGTTCAGATAAAAGAGGCCTGAGTGCAGAGCAGGAATGCAACATGAATAAATGTCTCAGAGAAGCCCTCTCTAGTTCTCACCAAGATAAACAGAAGGAGGGGGGAAGCACATTCAGACTTGCAAGATTCTGTTACTATTGCTTTACCATAAAAGTAGTACTGACCTACATGACATTGGATTCCTAGTCTGATCTACTCTGAAGGGCTGACACCAATCAATTTCTAGCACAATGGGAATCTGTAAGGAAGCAATCACACAGAGTGGCAAGAATTCTGTGTGATCTTATACTGTATTGTCGGTTGCAAGGAAGTAATGTTTCATAACGCTGGCTCACCTCAAAGCTGCTGCCCACCTATTGTTTCCATCAGCACTGGGATTTCTAGTGTCCTAGTGGATAAATTAAACTTTTGTACTGCAGCCTCATCTACAAAAATGGAGGTCAGCCCTGAGGCTATAAAGACAGAGAGTTGTACTTCCTGGCCTGAGTCTAAACATGGTCACAGGAATGACAGAATGTGCTTCCCTGCCGTCAGTGGCCTTTCATTGCCTGAGGGGCCCCCTGTAGAGGGGGGACTCTTGGGAGCGGGTCCCAGAAGTTTCCAGAAGCTGTGGCCTTGCAGCAATTTGGACACTTGCTGATATGTTACATTACATTGTGTCTGTGTATCACAGTTTTATTAGTGGTAGCACCAGATTTCCCCAGATTTCTAAATTTCCCTTATGAAGCCAGATACGTCCATTATTTTCTTTGTCAACTCAGAACCAAGATGTATATTTTACTTATTAAATGGAATAAACATTTTCCTGCTAGGATCACTTCCTGAACAGATAGCCTTTATTCCCCATCATCATCACCACCTTGCTCAGAGCCCACTGTAATTACTGTTAATTACAACTCTTGACCTGTAAACCTACATTTTCCGTATCAACAGGGAAAATGAGAATGCATGAACAGCAATTATCTCAGTAAAAACACAGTTCACCACAGCATGAGGTGCCTTGCACATTGTAGTCTTTTACAATCTAGATGAATTGGATAAGAACCCAGCATGGAACATCTGCAAATAATGTTTCAGAGAACATTGCCACTGCTTTACCTTTATCTATTCCTCCATGGTTACTGGGCGCAGAGAAGAATTTATGGTCTGGATTAGTACTGAACTATAGCACTGCAGAAATACATCTTGGACCAAAGAGGCTGGTTCAAGAGGAGCACTGAGGCTGCTGCTGCTTCCCTGTCAGGCCTAGCCCAAGGAACTCCAGGAGACCATGCAGATTCAGTTCAGCAATGTTTA